TTGAATTCTGGGTTGCTCAGTTGTTTCAATGGACAGTTGATGCTATAAATTAAGTTCCCCAGCCTCTGTCAATCTGTCAAGAAGCATCCCATTCAACATTTATTGAGGGCCTGCTGTCTCTAAACACTTGAGAACAGTTGCATATGTAAGGCAATCCTGAAAATCCCAATCAACAATATTTGATAATCTAAATATATCTAGGAGTGCATGAGTGGCTCAGCGGGTTCAGCGTCCGACTTCAGCTCAGGTTATGATCTAATGGTTTGTGAGTTCAATCCCCTCTTTGTGCTTTCTGCTGTCAGCGCGGGGGGGCCTGCTTCAGATCCTGTCTTTCTCTCCCTCTCTCTCTCTCTCTCTCTCTCTCTCTCTCTCTGCCCCTCCCCAGTTCATGTTTTCAAAAACAAATAAAAATGTTAAAAAAATATAAATATATCTATAATATAGTTTTGAATCTCAGGTATGGAGTTTTCTTAGAGTAAGTTACATCAGTCTTTCAAATTATATGTCTTTATCTTTTTTAATGTTTATTTTTGACAGAGAGAGAGACAGAGCATGAGCAGGGGAGGAGCAGAGAGAGATGGAGACACAGAATCCGAAGCAGGCTCCAGGCTCCAAGCTGTCAGCATAGAGCCTGATGCGGGGCTCCAACTCAATAACTGTGAGATCATGACCTGAGCCGAAGTCGGACACTTAACCGACTGAGCCACCCAGGTGCCCCTCAAATTATGTATCTTTAAATAACAGCTGTGTTCCTTTTTTATTTTCCTATCAACCTAATACCCCCCTTTGTTAGGTTTTGTTCCTTCCCCTTTAATAGCGACTCTATTTATCTGAATCCATCTATTTATTCTTCATTTTTCAAGTTTAAGCTAACAGATGGAGAGACAAGTTACTTCCAAACATCTGTGTGGAAACGCTTTACCTATAGCTCCTGCTGCGAGTAAAACTGATTTTAATTGTAAGGTAGTTGAAGATTTCTCTCACAGGCATTGTAAGTGAAAGTTTTCAGTGTGAGAACAAGTTCTCACCTAGGTTCTCACTGTCAGGCATACTCATGTTCCAAACAAATCATGCACACCACTAGAGCAGCGGTATAAACACCCTTGACGGTAAACAACGGTTTTGATATCACAGATGTTCTTAAGAGTCTGTTTAAGATTACTGGAAATGTTTGTGTGCCATTCTATTAATCATATAACTGCACATAAAATAATTAAGAATATTGATTGTGTTTGCATTCACTGAGTACAAAGAGCCCATTACTTAGAAAGACTCTAGAGAGACTAAAATGTGGCTATAAATTCTATAACACTATTTTCACTCACATAATAATGAGATTTTAGTAACATCTGTGTATTAGGTTAGCAGATTTTCCTGATAATACCCAAAAGTAAAGTTAGTGAGTACCCTATTTCCCACAGCAATCATGTGTAATACACCTGCTAATGTGTAGTCATTAGGTGACATTCCTAACGGGACAGTCATATTCTTTTCATGGCTCGTTTTCCCATGCCCACCCCTGGAATGTTGGGACCCACAACGCCCCCAACCTCCCAGCTCCGTCCTCCCTGCAAGTCTCATCCTTGGCTGAGACTTCAACTATTACTTAAATGTCAGTGGATCCTAAGTCTATGTCTGTATTTCCAGCCTGTTCATCATCCCCTTTGACTCTAAGAACCATCCTTCCACCTTCCTTCTACATAATCCCTATATATTCAGGAACTAGCCTATACTCAGACAAACCTTAACTCCACATTTTATCCTATAAACTTATTTCTGTGTTCACTTTCAAGATTCAAAGCATTGCAATTCAATAAACGGGGATTGGAGACCTCACTATCCCAAATGCCTCCATGTCCCTAATCACTCTCTGACATCATTTACAAATATCTGAAGTGTCTACTCTGAAATCGTTTCTAAATGTCTCACCTCCTTTCAGTTCTATCATGGATCGATTCCAATTCATCATTCTTCATATGGGTTTTGGTAAAATGTTTAAAACTGGTATCCTTCCCTCGAATCACTGCTATGACCAGAAACACCTTCTTTGCTCCATGGCCATGTGACAAATATTTATTGAGCACCTACTGTGTATCAGGCTTTGGGGTGGGTATTTAGTAGAGGGTGCTCAGCAAATCAAAGACCCATTCCTCATTGAACTTAAACTTTAGTTCAGGAGATAAGGCACCAACTAGGTAAACAAACAAATAGTCCACAGGGGATGTTTGGGTAAAAAAAAAAAAAAAAAACTAGTGGGGAATGCTACGTGTATAGAGTGATCATTGAGGAGGTGTCATTTCAATTTTTTAAAATTTTTTTAATGTTTATTTTTGAGCGAGACAGACAGAGAGAGAGAGAGAGAGAGAGACAGAGCATGAGTGGGAGAGAGGCAGAGAGAGAGGGAGACACAGAATCCAAAGCTGTCAGCACAGAGCCTGACATGGGACTCAAACTCATGAACCTGAGATCATGACCTGAGATGAATTTGGACGCTTAACCAACTGAGCCAACTAGGCACCCCCAGGAGGTGTTATTTAGAATAAGACCTCTAGGAAGGGAAGAAGCCAGTCACAAAGAGAGTCAAAGAGACAAACATAACAAAGGTCCAAGGCTGGAAGGAAGCCCATGGTAACTAGGGCCTAATGTATGGGACATAAGGTTGTATGGGACAAGGTGGGAGAGGTAAATAGAGGTGAAATCACCCACAGCATCACAGGCCATGATCGTAAGTCTGAATCTAATGTGAAGCATGATTGGAAGCCAGGGAGAAGTTTTCAGCAAGGGAGTCACATGATCTGGTTTACATTCTTTAAAAATCACCAGAATTGTTTCCCAGTCCCAATACAAGGGTCAATTCTGTGCATTAAAAAAGTTGTATGGCTCCTGATGAATGGAGTAACCACAGGTTCCAGCTTGCTCAAGTGAGTCCTGGTTTCTGCCTGTTGTCCCAGTGTAATTATTAAGAGTTCCCTGCTTTCAACTCTCACAAGGGTGGCAGGGAGACCATAAATCGCACAGTCAACTTACTATAGGGAATAAAATAAAACAGTCCTTGGGTTGACATTCAAGGCCCTTCTGAACCTGGTCCCAATTCACCTCTCTTCCTTTCTCCTACATGGTGTTCTGGCCACTTCTGAAATGTAATGCTGCAAGTATCCTAAAAAGGCAAGTATCCTGCCTTTAATTATGTTCCTGCCTGTTGCTGCACATTCTGTGACCATTGACTAGTAGATAGATCCTTGAGGGCCAGACCTGAGAAGTCTTTCCAAAAACCAGGCAGAATGAATGGCTTCCTCCTCTGTGCTTTGTCAATATCTTTATTAAAATATTTATCATACTGAGTAAATTATTTAAAGGTCCATTTTCCTGCAAGAATTGTAGGTACTCAATGGTAGGACAGCACCTTAAGTGGTTTTTTTTGGGTCCTCACCACTCACTGCATACTGGTCCATTGCTGGTCCTTGATATATGACTGCTGGATGAATTATTTAATATAAGTGTAACATAACATACATAGCAAAATGATAAGGTTGAGTAATGAGATTTTAAAATTTTTTTATCCAGTAAACTTAAAACATTACTGCCTTCAATCTACATTACTTTCATTCTCCAACTCCACCCCAATGTCTAATGTAGCCCCATTCATTAGGAAGTAACAATAAACTTTTAATGAACAACTACAAATAAAAACATCTTTATAGGGCAAGAAGAAGTCTAGTTTTAGAAAACTAACAAATTTCTAAATAATTGTGAAGATTAAATAAAACAGAATTGGTATAACCACTGTAGAAAATGGTATGGGGTTTCCTCAAAAAATTAAAAATAGAAATATTATATGATTTAGTAGTTCCACTGTTGGATATTTACCCGGAGAAAATGAAAACTTAGCAAGAAAAGATATATGTACCTCTATGGTTTTTTTCAAGTTTTTATCTAAATTCTATTATATGTGTGTAT